GGTATACAAAGAACTGAAGAAATTAGACTCTAGACAATCAAAGAACCCTATTAAAAAATGGAGCACAGAGCTGAACAAAGAATTCTCAACTGAGGAAGTTCGAATGGTTGAGAAGCACCTAAAGAAGTGTTCAGGATCACTAGTCATCAGGGAAATGCAAATGAAAACAACACTGAGATTCCACCTTACACCAGTCAGAATGGCTAAGATCAAAAACACAGATGACAGCACATGTTGGCGAGGATGTGGAGAAAGAGGAACACTCCTCCACTGTTGGTGGGATTGTAAACTGGTACAACCACTATGGAAGGCAGTATGGCGATATCTCAGAAAATTGAACATAGTGTTACCTGGGGACCCAGCTATACCACTCCTGGGCATATACCCAAAAGAAGTTTCACCATACAACAGGGACACATGCTCCACCATGTTCATAGCAGCCTTATTTATAATAGCCAGAAGTTGGAAAGAACCCAGATGCCCTTCGACAGAAGAATGGATGCAGAAAATGTGGTACATTTATACAATGGAATACTACTCAGCTATTAAGAACAATCAGTTCACAAAATTCCTAGGCAAATGGATGGAGCTGGAAAATATCATCTTGAGTGAGATGACCCAATCTCAAAAGAACATACTTGGTATGCACTCATTGATAAGTGGATATTAGACCAAAAGCTCACAATGTCTAAGAACCTACATACAGACCACATAAAACTCACATAGAAGAAGGAAGACCAAAGTATGAATTCGTTGGTCCTTTCTAGAAGGAGTATCAAAAGTTTCAACCAGAACTCCCAAAGTCTAAACCAGAGAACACAAAGGGAGGGACTCACACACCTGTATAGGGAATTGAGGGTGTCCTTGTTAGACTTCAGTGAAAGTGGAGGGCCAAGGTCCCCGAAAGTTTGGATTCCCTACTGTGTGGGAATTCGAGAGCAGGGAGATGGGACTGGGAGGATGTTTGGAGCACACCATCACAAAAATTAGGAGGAGTGGGTATGGGATAAAGGATCTTGGGGGAGAATGAGAAAGGAGATAACATTGAAAGGTAAATACGTATAATACCCAATAAAAAAACCCACACAGATAAAGGATTTTTTTAAAAAAGGGAGTTTACTTATCTTAAATTAATTTCAAAAGTTTCTAGGAGTTGCAAATTGGCTAAGATCCTATTTTAAGCTCTCCACAAAAGAACTTAAATCTCTGATCAATATTCTCAAGAGAGAGGTAAACCCTAACTTCCTCAACAGTTAATTGACAGAAGAGAGGTAATCTCACAAAAAGTAGAAAAAGCTATTTCCAATCGATATATCATATAGTCTGATTAATTGTCAGTGGTGCTATAAAAGTCCTTTGACAAAAGATTATAAATATAGATTTATATATCCTTAAATAAGGTCTTCATGACTCTCTGAGTGTAGAAGGAGCAACTGTTGGCGCTTCAGCCCTGATTTTACAAGAACTCTGAAAAATTGGCTTTAAAAATAAAAGAGGGGGAACGGTACCCCCTCAGAAGGAGCCCCCCTGAAATACTCTCCATCATGCCTTGTTCACTTTTCTCTCTCTTAAGCTGAAAGCTCATGGCAAATCTCTTGCTGACCATGTTGGTGACCTCGGGCACCACCAAGACCAACAAAACTTTGCCACAGATATGGGGAAGGACCCTCATACCCGTAAAGGGAATGCCCCAGACCCAGTTCCCTTATGGAGCCGAGGGCTGATATGCCTGTCCAATACCACAGAAGGCACAGCTAACCGGCTACCATAAATATTAATGAAAAAAAATAGATACACTCACAAAGCCAGGCCCAACCATAAATACGATGAATAATAATTTACATCCAGGGAAGAGAAATCTCCCTGAGAATCCCCTTCTTTTTTCTTTCCAGGCAAAAATGAATCACCCGTGATGCCTGCCATTAGAAGTTCTAATCCAGATGGGCCAGAAGTCAGGATCCTCGCCCTTACCCTCCCCCCCTACCTTTTCCCAGCTGCACAAGGTTCCCTGAAGCTTGGCAACTGCAAGATCCTGCTTGGAAACTGCAGATAGACTCAAAGCAGTGTACCATATCATCTGAAGAATAGCAAGGAGACCATAACTCAAGCAGTGTACCATATCTTCTGAAGAATAGCAGGTTGCAGTCCTCCTCGCCCCCACGAATAACTAGGGCCTGCCAGTCGGGTCAAGTGGCACCCAGACGTGGGGCTCGAGGCACGGACCCCTCTGGACGGACCCTCATTGAGAGGATGTGCGCAGGACATCAAGATTAAGCGAGACAGAGATCAAAACCCGCGACCTGTCATCCACGGAACCAGGTTGATGCTGCCATCAAGAAGACGGTTGAAGTTCATTACCATCAGCCGAAAATTGAAGAGGATCCAGAAGTGACTCTGCAGGAGACTGACACAGCTGCCAGCTCCCCTGCCTCCCCCCTACGGTCGACCGCTAGACTTCCACGCCCTCCAGAAGGGTTCCTGGTATGCCTGGCTTTGCCCCCGTTTCTCTCGATAGAGAGCTTGGCCCCTTGATCACCACAACAAAAATTGGCTTTTTCCTAAACCAAGGCCGCCCTTGATATGGCCGCTAACATTGGGGAGCCTTCCTTTATGACAATATTACACCCCAAACTGACAAATGGTTGGTAAATTGAACATTTACAAGGGACTAGGATGGCTGTGAGTTAGCCCAATGACGGGATTATTGTAGGTCCACTTCCCAGGGGCCCACCCAATGCAGCCGAAAAGGAGTGCGTGGTGCTGGGAGTGGGTGCAGCCTACATGGCCTAAGACAGGGCCCTCACCCTCCTTTCACCCACATCGGAGTCCCTTGACGTTGCCCATCGTCGACAGCCTAAAACCTTCGACCATCGATGTGACTCGTCTCACATCAGTGTTTTGGGGTTGTGAACTTGTCTAAGACCCCCCATAATTAGACATCCAAATTCAAAATTCACATAGTTGGGATTGATCATAAGATGCCTTCTCTAACTAAACAGAGAAGGGGGAGATGCCAGAAGCCAGGACCCTCGCCCTTACCCTCACCCCCTACCTTTCCCCACCTGCACAATGTCCTCTGAAGCTTGGCAACTGCAAGATCCTGCTTAGCAACTGCAGATAGACTCAAAGCAGTGTACCATATCATCTTAAGAATAGCAGGGAGACCATAACTCAAGCAGTGTACCATATCTTCTGAAGAACAGCAGGTAGATCATAATTCAAGGCAGTGTACCGTATAGACCATGACATGTTTCAAGGCACAGGCCAAGAAGATTTTGTACTTTTCCTCCATCTGGCCCCTCTTACCCCCTCCCCTTGTGAAACATGCTATAAAAAAGCATTTCATGTTCAAAAATAAATAAATTATTTATAAAAAAAACAAAACAAAAAAAAAAAAAAAACGGGGCACCTGAGAGCTAGGAGCTCGGGCACTCATTTAACAAAATTGTTCCAAAGCATAAAGTCTATTAATTTAAAAATGACATATTCATTATCAAAGATCCAAAAGTACAAAACAAACAAACAACAAACAAACAAACAAACAATAAATAAATAAATAAATAAATAAATAAATGCAGTAGGACCTCTAAGGCCCAGGTGATTTCCCTAACAAATCTCAGAAAGCATTTAGGAAGCATGTTAAGTGATATTACCTCTTCCATAAAACATGGGAGGAAAGGCTATTTTTTTCTTGTTTTATGAGTCCTGCATTATTTTGACACCCAAACCAGATGATTATAAAAGAGAGTAAAAACACTCTTCAAAAATTAAAGTAATCCGCTATATTATCAAATACTGGAAAATATGTAATTGCCATAGACAAAGAATAAGTTGTTTACAAAGTGACAACACTCATTTACAGTAAGATAGACTTAATCCCCAGCAGTGCAAAATAAAATAAAGATATAAGCATTAACAACAACAAAGACAACTTGCCTTAAGCAACTACATGCAAGTTTCCTTAACCTACGAAAGCACATCAATAGTAAAGCTTGCACCTAATGTTAGAGAAACTGAACCTTTTGCTTCAAGATATGATGTGTCACTGCTGTACAACATCAGCTCTGCATCACACAGACATGTCGTCAGCTAGTCAAAGGAGAAAAACCAAAAGAAACCAAGGCACACAGATGGGAAGTATATCTCCCAAGGCAGATGACCTGCACTATCAACGATTCTCAGTCCTGTTCGGGGAATTTGGCCAGCAATGTCTAGAGACACTGGTGGTTGCTACAATTCAGCTTGGGAAGGATCCTCCTGGCATCTAAAGACCAAAAGTGATGATAAGCATTTGGCATTTCAGCATGTGATGAGCTTCCCACCCTACATCCCACAAAAGAAAATTCTCTAGTCCCAGTAAACATAGAGCTAGTGTTACAGTATAGTGGTCAATAATGATATACCTGCTACTGCATCAAAACTCCCATACGAGTGCAATGGTGTTTTCAGATGTATAAATGGATGAATGAATGCGTGAATAAACGAAACTGTGTAGAACCTCCATTCTCACTCTGGAGAATTTTCTCTGCTGCGTGATGATGGGATGTGGTTTTAAATGACCAGCACGTAGGGTCGGGGCTTGGAGCTGTTTCTCAGTGTCAGTGTGCTTACCTACAAGCGAGATCCTGGGCACTGTCCCCAGTACTGGAAAACAAATAACCAAATAAAAACTATACCCCGAGTGCCAGGCATTCTATGCATGCTTTCTCATCTTCTGATTTTTATAAATTAAATAGACCCAGTACCATATCTTATTCAAGTCACACTAGTGATCTGGCTCTCCCAGAGCTCTGTGCCAATGCACTGCAGACATGAGATAGTTGCCTTGTCTCCTTGTGTCTTTCAAGGCATTGACAGTGCTGAGACATACTCCAGCAAATCACAGGTTAGACGATGCTTTGTAAATTCTTCAGCTAAAGATTCCATATGTTATTGAGAAAGTGATGAATCAATATTCAGATCCTACCTTCCGAGTTCTTATTTTGTGCTTCACTTCCTACCTTTCTCTTCCTCACAGATATCTGGATGCAGTAATGCTAGCGTTCTTTGTACATTCATGCTTTTCATGGTTTTAAAATCAGGGAATAACACGTCAATGAACTTAGAAACCTTAACCACATCGTCCTCAACATCGCAGTAATCAGACAGATGCTGTCGGTCCATATACTCTTGCAAACTGTTGAAACCCAAAGTATAACCTAAGATTATTATCAGCTAAGGTGTAAGAGCTATATCTAAAATTTTTATGTTATTGAATGACTTAGAATGTAATAATAATACACCACGTTTTTCTGCTCACAACATTACCACTCTGAATGTAAATCCCACTGCTCCAAGCCCTCTGGCATCCACTCAATTCCCTTTTGTTTTGCTCTATCCTGCTTTAAAACTTGAAACTAAATGACATCATAACCTTGCATAGGAGTAGAATGTTTGGGTAGCATGAAGAAGGCTCTGGGTTCTCGACCCAGCAATACAATGGCAAAACAAAGTCTCAAGTGATCTGCTACCTAAGAAATATGCAGTAACCAGAAACCACAAGAAAATCCCACAGTTTATATGGAAAGGGGAAATATCTTGAGCACCCCAGACAGACAATGCAATAGCACTGGGTCACAGAGCAGCAGCTGACCTGGCCACAGGATCTCCAGGCTCAAATATCAAAATACCTTCTTTCTCACCAAAATCCTTCAGATGTGTCCTGAAATACTTTTATATCAAACTCTGGCTCTTAGTCTTCAGCAGAGTAAAAGTCACAAACAGTAACACATAAAGCCAACATTCTGGAAACTGCTTGCTCATTTTGAAATACTTAAAAATGGATTACTAAAACATATATTCATTTTGTCACCAGCAATTTTAGACCAGTAAATGTCTTAAGTAAAACAGAGAGCTTAGGAGACAAAAGGAAATGGTTGGTGTAGGAGAGTGGACAGGGATGGCTCAGGCCATGCGTGGTTCGGATATAAACCCTAACCCCGAGAGAATGAGGCTAGATTGGGTGCTAGGCTTAGAAAAATAAGTGAGGAAGTTATGCCCTTTCTAATTTTCTTGTCATAAACATTCAAGGAAACCCCCATTTTCTGAATATATAATATTCTAGGTTGACCAAGATGAAATGTGTGCCTATAGAAAAACATTAGGTTTTGAGACATCTGGGCCTCATATGCCATCACCTATTGACACATTATACGTGAGATAAAGCTTGTCTTAGCTACCTGTCCCGTTTCTTCTTTATCAGCACAGGTGCAAACCTAACACGAGGCTCTTCCAAATTGTCATGTTCTTCTTCTTCTGTATCAGCAGGAGGGAGAGTTTCTTCCTGAATAACCTCTGAGTCGTCTCCTTGCGATATAATGAGCACGCAGCTTAGGCCGTTTGTCATAGAAAATACAAACTCTTCAAAGTCAGGCTACAAAAGGAAATGAGAAAGTTTCCCTCAGGCTCCTGATGCAAGTGCATTACAATAGCAGCCACTGTGAAAAAATAAAAACAACAAACAAACAAAAGCCAGTGAAATCTTTCCTTGTGTAGGTATCAGCAATGTTATGCTGCCCTCAAAATCTTTCTCCTTGCAGGAACATTTTTGCACAGTAGACATTTACAGACAGGAGAAAATGATTTTTGGGTTTTTTGTTGTTGTTTTTGTTTTATTTTGTTTTGTTTTGTTTTGTTTTCGAGACAGGGTTTCTCTGTATAGCCCTGGCTGTCCTGGAACTCACTCTGTAGACAAGGCTGGCCTCAAACTCAGAAATCCAGCTGCCTCTGCCTCCCAAGTGCTGAGATTAAAGTCATGAGCCACCACTGCCCAGCTGAGAAAATGACTTTATAGACAGTGTATCACAACTACTTTCCAACACCAGGATGGTGTCAGTCCATCTAAAGGGTTGGTTGTATACATTGTCTTCAGTAGCCCATATACTCTTGGATGTGAGGTCTTGCACATCATGGCCCAGGGACCCCAAACTTAAAGAAATCTGACTCTCTCTCTCCAGCTGCTGTAATTGCTAATAGCTCCTTAACTAAAGGTGGAAATTTGTGTTCTCCTTTCATCTCTATGCTGAACTTTGTCTGGCTTCAGCTTATGCAGGTCTAATGCATGATGTCACAATCAAACTTAATGGCCTTTTTTCTTTTTCTCTTTTCTTTTTTTCTTTTTTCTTTTTCTTTTTGGTCTTTTTAGAAAGGACACAAAATTGGGTGGGTAGGGAAGCGGGGGAAAATCTGGAAGGAGTTGGAAAAAGGGAGGAAATGATTAAATATATTGTACAAAATCCTCCAAGAACTAACACACATGACACACAGAGAAAGGAGAGTCAGAGACAGACAGAGACAGAAACAGACAGAGACAGAGAGATTTTCTTGGTGCTCAATCCCAAAGTTTCTAGTTCAGTAATTGTCACAGTTGGGTCCAATATGTCTCCCAGTGACCATGTACTAAAGGCTTGGTCATCAACATGTGATTGCTACTGAAAGCAATGAAACTCTTAAGTGGAAGGTTGTACAATCACTGGGGATTACCTTGAAACAGTTATCAGGACCCTGATGTCTCCTCTCTATCTTTTTTTGTTTCATGGCTTCAGGAAGTAATCAACTTCAGTTCACTATGATCTCCTGAATATGATATTCTGTCTTAACACAGACACCAAGGTTATGGCTACAGGCCACTATGGAATGAAATGTTTCAGATCATGAACCAAAATGAAACTCTCCTCCTTTTCAGTTGACTTTCTCTGGTATGTTTGAACACAGTGATAGAAATCTGGCAAACTCAACAATTTCTGGTAACATGCCTATGGTGGTGTTTCACAAAAGGACATGCATATTGTTGATACAACTGGCAAAATTCTACACACACACATACACACACATATACACACATACACACACATGCACACATACACACACATACATACACACACACATACACATACATACACACACACATACACACACACACACACACACACATACACACACACACACACATGGAAACTTGGATAACTAGAGTACTAGGTCAGTTTAAAAGTGCTGACTATTAGAACTTTCTTTACGGGTAACATACACTGCACTTCCTAACAGTATTTATTCCTGGATATGTCTATTGAGCACCTAAAATGTGCATAGTGTAAATAAGACTCCAATTTAAAATGTGATTTAGTTTGAATGAATTTAAATTCAAATAGCTATATGTATTTACTGCCCAACATATTGAAAGAGTGCTTATTGAAAACAGGTCTCCTGATTTCCATCTCCCCCCCCCCCCCCTCCCTGCCCCGGGCGTTCGGCTGTGCTTTGTGTCTCTCTCTCTCTCTCTCTCTCTCTCTCTCATACACACACACACACACACACACACACACACTTAGTTTAAATTTTTTTGGAAGCATTATACTATGCTCTTCCAAGAAGAAAACTTGCTGGAATACAGCATTAGAGAAATGATTCAGAAAAATAGTAGGTTACAGCATTCATACATACCAGATGCACGTACACACATACTCCCTAGATATCAATATTTTTAAAACTTCAAAGATTTCACAATATTTTTAATTAGAGTGGATTACTTCAAATTTTGAAATGCTAACATAAAATAAAATGAAATAAGGAAAGGAAAATAAAAACACAATTCCAAAAACCATATATATATATATATATATATATATATATATATATATATATATCCAAGGCCGAAAATTGATAGAAGATTGGCTAATCACTTCCAGAGGACACACCAGAAAGAACTCTTCAACAAAACAAACCATTGAACTCTTTCCCAGATGTTACTGGAGATATTTCCAGGAATATCATCTTTGCCATATCAATTTGTGGACATCTTCAAGACACCAAAATTTATTCAGTTGGCTAGAATTAACAGTTTTTTACTCTAAAATGGAAATCTAAATTTATACCAATCATTGTAGTTTAGTGTGTGTGTGTGTGTGTGTGTGTGTGAATATATACACAGTGGATTTTTAAAAGCTTCTTACCTGCTCTGCTATATGAATGTAGAATTCCCTCACTACATCTTCGGGGAGAATCATGTTTTCCTGTATTTCTACGACAAATCCCTCTTTGGTTATCTTGAATTCAGGTCAGATCAGAAGCAAACATGACAAAGGAAAACATGTAAAACAAATTAGAGCTATTTTCTTAAGAACTCACTAAACTACCTAGATTTTAATACATTCGGGTAAAGCCCACAAGAAAATCCATATAGTTTGAAGTGGCTCAGAAATGCATAAAAAGTATCCTGTGATACTCCCTAGATATCCATATTTTTAAAACTTCAAAGATTTCACAATATTTTTATTAGAGTAGACTGCCTCAAAATTTGAAATGCTAACATAAAAGAATGAAAAAAATAAAAGCACAATTTCAAAAATCTCTATATAAATTCATATATATGAATATATTAAAGTATATATACACTTTCTGAATTATCCATAAGATAGAAATTTAAAAGTACTTCTTAACTATACTCAAAATTATTTTAGCTTCTTTTGTTCCCATGTTTCCATTTTTGAAGGCTAATTCAAGTGAAACACTAGATTCCATAAGAAGTTGTCTCCAGGAAACACACTTCACCAGTAAAGACATCTACAGCTTGAGAATCAAATGATGAGAAACAATCTATCAAGCAATCAGAAACTGAAAACAACTTGACATAGCAATCTAGATATCTGATAGGATATATGTGAAACCATAATTAGTCAGAATAGATTTCTTAAAGACATTACATATCTAAGATGGCCGACAATAAATATATATGTACCAAATGCACAGCCACAAATATTATGGAATGGACACTAGTGGAGTTCAAGGGTCAGTTTGAACATGACATAAGTGACTTCAGCACCCCACCTCACTCTCAATTTCAGATTCCTCATTCAAACTGAAAATCAACAATGTAACCTCAAAGTAAACATATGTAACAGACAGATACAGAATATTCCATTTGAAGATAAAAAACACATTATTTTCAGCAGTACATGGAACTATATCTAAATAGAACACATTCTAGGCCATAAATCAAGACTTATCAAACATTAAAAAAGAAGTTCTCTATATTTTATCTGATTATAGTCCCATTAAAATAAAAACCCATAGTATGAAAACTACATACTTTCATTGAAATTAAACAATACACCCTTGAATGCTACTGAGTCATTGAAAGAACCAAACAGGGAATTTAAAAGTCTCTGGAAACTAATGATGATGAAAGCAAAATTTACCAACTCCTTTGGGATATAGCTAGGACAGGTGTAAGAGGAAACTTTGTAGCTATGAATTTGTACATGGCAAGTATCTGATGCAGGAAGAAAAGGAAGTATCTGAGAATTCTCAAGAAAACAACTCATAGTTGTATCTCAAGCATAATCTCAGTGTTGATAAGGAAATAGTAAGATCAGGTTAGATATTATTATATTAGAGACTAAAACAACAATACATAGAGTCAATCAAAGATTCAGTTCTTTGATAAAATAAGATGGGAAGATATCTTCTTAAAATAATCAAGAGAAAGAAGACTTAAATTAGTAACTAAGAGATGGTAATGGGGTAATTTGATGCAGAGAAGGATTAGTAAGTACTTTGAAAATTTATGTTTCAAAAAAGGGGAAAATCTAGAAGAAATTATTAACCTTCTATGTATGTGTGGTGGTATGAACATAGCCCAGGGAGTCGTACTATTAGAAGGTGTGGCCTTTGGGAAAAAGTGTGTCACTGTGGAGGTGAGCTTGGTAAATATTCTCCTAACTGCCTGGAAGCTAGTCTTCTGCTTGCCTTTGGAACAAGATGTAGAACTCTTAGCTCCTCCAGCCTCATGCTTCCTGCCTTGATGATATGATAACATTATCTCTAAATTCAGGAACGATACAAGAGAATCCATTATCTCTCCTCTGTAGTGCTAAACATCTACAGCTAGAAATCTTACATAAGAATACATGAGAAAGAAACAAAAGGAATACAAATATGAAGGGAATCATGTAAATAACATGACTGTATACTTAAACAACTTTGTGTACTTTACCAGACAATAAAGAGCTGACAAACTTCAGCAAAGACATAGTGAGCAAAATCAACGTAAAAATCAGTAGTGCTGTTGTACACTGATGGCAAACCTGCCAAAAAATCAAGGAAAACATTGTTGGGATCACTTTTCTTTACCTTGTATGGGGGTTTGTCTCTGTATTTTCAATTGTTAATTCTGTATTGACAGAGAGCTTAGTGCTGGTAGGATTTTGATATTGTTATTTCTATCGCCCGTCACCGGGCTTTCTATTTTGTAAATATTCATACTTCCTCACCTGTCTAAGGCAATTCAGAGATGTGTCAGAGGTTGTCTTGCTGCTGATTACTTGTAATAAATAGGTGATGGTAAAGCACCTTGGGCAGGAAGTACCTGTGAGACGTAGGGCAGAGTGATGCTTGGGAGGCAAGCAGACAAGAGAGATTTGAAGTAAATACAGAAGCCGAGAAAGACTAGAGTGGGCCAGAGAGGTAAAGAGCTAGCCACGTGGCAGAAAAATTAAGATAAGTTTAGATGAACTAGCTGAGAGTCTGACCCAGTGAAAGGACAAAAACTTTAAATTATATAAAAGTTTCTGTGTCTTACTGAACCGTGGAAAGATCCATGAAAGTCCCACAATATTTGACACACTAAAGTGCGGCATGAAATCCAAGTTTAGGCACTAGATTCAGGCATTAGGCCAAAAGTTCCAGACACTGGAGAGAGATGAGAGTCCCCAGGTCCAGTAGCAGTTATTGGATGGTTTTCTAGAGGCCTCACTCTGAGCCGACTGCAAAACAGCTTTGTTCACAGCTACCAGCTAGCTAGCTGCAGTCCGGTGCTGGAGCTTTGGTCCTTCAGACACCACAGTCTCTGTATCTGGCAGATCGCAAGTATGCTGCCTGCAGAAGTGGTGGTCAGCAAGGGCCTGGAGCTGAAGCGAGATCTCTAGAGCGGAAGCAGGGAGCACCTGGAACTCAGTGCTTCTGGCAAACGCTAGCCGACTTCTGAACTGGCAATGTCTACACAAACGTGCAGTTAGCGGAGGACAGAGTTTAGAGATACTTAGATATGGGAAGCAACATTAAGTTTAAAAGAAGTAAAAGAGAAATAGGTAGAATCGTTTTGTATATGTGTACAGACTCTGAAGGAAAGAGAGAAACTGAGTATAAACAGTTCTAGAAAATATTTAATTAAATAATGAGAAGTCTCTGAAGAAAGGAGAGATTAAAGAAAGTTACAGAGATTAAAGAAGAAAATATTTTTGTGTTAAAATATGGAAAACGCTAAGACAGAGGGCATTTGGACCTCACGTAATTTTGTTTTGACTATCTCCCTGGAAATGATTATATTTTGTTCAGTAATAGTTAAAGTTTTCTATATCCTCTCTATGGTCAAACTAAAGCAGACTCAGATAAGGAAATGACTAAAAGATAGAATGCTAGATTAAAGGAAATAGAACAAAAATTATAGCCACTTTAAATCCAATCTACAGCCTACACCGCCACCTTGTGGCAAGATTTCAGGATAGCAGTCTAGGCCCATTAGAAAGCCTACAATGATTTTTCCAGTTACAGTAAGAGAATAGCTCCAGATGAGATAAATCAGCAAGGTTATGAAGAATTTGGATGGAAACCCATAATAGTGCTAGATGTAAAAATATTTAAAGAAGCAATGATGGCCAATGGCATGCATTCTCTTATTTGAAGCAGATACTTAATAACTGGGCCACCCAAAACTGTACAATTCCAAAAGATTAGAAAGGTTTAATGTCAGCAATCTAAAAGCTGCCTTCAGCTACAATAGCTAACATGGTGGTAAGAAGAGGCTTTGGCTACAGAGAAACGTAATTGGACTAGAGGCATGAATATTTTCAAGGATCAGGTGCTAGGTGAAGGTAGATATGCTGAATTAAGAGTATAGATTATGTTTAATGATGCCACTTAGAGCAATGTCATATAATAGCTTTAAGTGCTTTGGATAAGTGTGAACAATAGGGAAGGCAACATGTATCATTTACAAAGATATTCTAAGGTTCAGACAAATCTTTTACTGACTGTTTACAAAGATTAAATTCATCTGTAAATAGAGCAATATAATATCCAAATACTACAGAAACTTTATCGGAGTTTTTAGCTTTTGAGAATTGCACTCAGAATGCTGAGTGCAAAAAGCTATTAGATCGTAAAAGGCCAGATTTGTACCTATTTAGGAATGGATTAAAGCTACTGTAGATATTGGATCTAATACTTCTGGTTCAGCTATGATTGGACAGGTAAAGGTATGACAGAGCTCAGAATGTCCAATGCTTTGGCTATGGAAAACCAGGTTGTTTCCTTAAGGACTGTAGACGAACAGTTCTTAAAGACATAATTTTCTCTAATGCAAATTCAGGGAGAAAGCTTCCTAGGATTTGTAAATGAATGGAAGGACATCCTGCTATGAATGTAGAGGTATACAAGGCAACTCTTTATTGTTGGTAATCTTCCTAAGGGGTTTTGCTCAGGCCCTGATGAAAAAACAATATGAGCCATTCATTCTCTATCCACCAAGGAGAGACTGTACTACAGAACAACTAGAAAAATCAATGCCTGACAAGACAAACAGCATTTAACAGAGGTGGAGCAGCTCCAATAGATAGAACAAGAGATTCTGAAGATTCTAGAAAACAGGTATCTTGGCAAACGACTATAAATTATCACAGACCAAAGCTGAAATTACAATGAGATGGAATTCAGATTGAAATGCCTAGTGGATAAATAATTCCACAAGGTTCTTGGAATCCAACTTTCAAAAGGTATCTATACAGCTCCTGTTGATTGAGACATTGACTCAGGAGAAACAAAGATCTAAACTGGATTAAATGTATAAGACCAGAAGATTAGATAGGAAGGTTAAGGCCATATGTGGTAGATATAGCCAGGAATGTATAGAGGAGAGATTTATTGCAACAGTGGGAAACAGGTTAGCATTCCTCCAACTTCAGGGACAAGCCATATAATAGGAGATGATCTTGATGAGGGTCTCGAATAACATTATAAAAACCAGTTACACTCCATCCAGACTGTCCGC